TTCATCTTCAGCAGGCGCTCCACGGCCACCTGCGGGACAGCAAGGCCACGGTGGGCTCGAGGACGGCCGGAGGGGGCCGGCCGAGCCCACGGGGACCACTCACCAGGATGGCGCCGTACACCTTGTGCCCGTCAGCCTTGACCTGCGCGTTGGACACCGAGTAGTCATCCAGCACGGCCTGCAGGTTGGTCCAGTAGGTGGAGAGGTGCGGGTACAGGACGCGCTCCACGGCCTACATGGGAGAGAGCACCGACCCCATGCTCTGCTTGCTCCCCTCGCTGTGGAAGACCCGCTTTGTTAACTGAGCCAAGTTATTTAGGCTAGCTCATACTTGTGATTCTCCTGCCACCTCCGTAGCTGAGCTTACGAATGCACCACCATGTCTGTTTTTTTGTTGTGTTTTGTGTTTTAAGCAGTGCTGGGCGATCATCCACACATGCAAGGCAGTACACTATCCCTGAGCTACGCTTGCAGCCCTACAACTTTTAAGATTGGAGACAGCGGGGTATGGTGGTAGACACCTGTAATACTAGCCAGCACTCAGAAGATTGAGGCAGGAGGGTCACCAAGAGTTTGAGGCCGCCAGCCTGAACTACATGGACTCTTGTCTCAGGAAAAGAGAAGTGAGTGGTTACCGTTATGTAAAATGATATTACTGATTATAGCAATAAAATAAGAGCATTACAATTAAACAATATGGTTATCTTGAATATATGATATAATTTCCTTTAAAACCTCAAAAGAATTTACACTGTTAAGAAAAATGGCTGGATCAGTAACACAAAAATCAACTGTATTTCTTTATCAATAGTAAACTAGGCCAGGGATTTAAGTTCAGTGGTTCCGCCGCCTGCCTCACAGGCAAAAAGTCCTGTACCAAAAAAAAAAAAAAAGTACAAAGATGTCATTACAGCAGCATCAAAGGGTAGCAAGCATCTAGGAATAAATCAGTAAAAGGAGGCAGGGGTATCCCTCCGTGGTACAGCACTTGCTCAGCACCAGGGAATCTCTGAGACTGAACCTTAGCACCACAAACAAAATTAATAAACTATATTAGGTGCTCAGGAGAATTATGAAAGCATCCTAAAAGACTGGGAAGCCTAAAAAAACATATGACACGTTCATGTTCACAAAGACTTTCATGAAAACTTTTTTCAAAACGGAGTAAAAAAATTCCAATAAAAATGTCAGCAGCCAGGGCATTTAGCTCAGTGGTTCCACTGCCTGCCTTGCAAGCACAAGGACCCGAGTTCGAACACCCTGGTACCAAAAAAAAACAAAAACAAAAAAAAAAGTGAAAAATAGTTACTTTAAGGAGCTGGGCGTGGTGGCGCACACCTGTAATCCATCCCAGCACTCGGGAGGCTGAAGCAGGAGGATCACTGTGAGTTCGAGACCAGCCTGGGCTACACAGTGAGTTCCAGAGCAGTCTGAACTACACAGTGAGACCCTGTATCACAAAATTTAAAAAAAAAAAAAAAAAGCAGCAGTAGCCAGGCGTGGTGGTGCACCCCTGTAATCCCAGCACTTGGGAGGCTGAGGCAGGAGGAGGCAGGAGGATCACTTGTGAGTTTGAGACTAGCCTGGGCTACACTGAGTTCCAGGTCAGTCTCAACTTCGTCTCAAAAAAAAAAAAAAAAAAAAAAAAAAAAAAAACAAAAAAAAAAAAAAAAAAAAAAACCGTAACAAAAGAACTGCTATAGTATGCAAGTGTAGTTCAACAGAAAACCCCACTGATTTACCTGTCATGCTAACAAAAGTAACGGGTATATGTAATTATTTGGCAATATCTATAGCTATGAAAAAGCTATGTGGCAAAAATGTAATGGCTAAATATCACAAGTTGTAAAGCCAGGTGTGGTGGCACACGTCTGTAATCCCAGTACTCAGGAGGCTGAGGCAGGAGGATTGCTGTGAGTTCACGACCAGCCTGGGCTACATAGTGAGTTCCAGGTCAGACTCAACTACATAGTGAGACTCTGTCTCAAAAAAAACAAAAAAAAAAAAGAAAGAAAGAAAAGGAAAAAAAATCACAGGATGTGAGGTTAGTTTATGGGGTGGGGGGGCACAGCATCTACCATTCAGGACTTCTGGAGGGATAAAACATCCACATAGAAAATCAAGGTACATGGGCCAGGAATTTAGCTCAGTGGCACTGTGTGCCTACCTTAAAAGTGCAAGGTCCTCAGTCTGGGCTACATAGTGAGTTCCAGGTCAGTCTCAACTACATAGTGAGACCCTGTCTCAAAAAAACAAAACCAAAAAAAAAAAGTGCAAGGTCCTGAGTTTGTTCCTTGGTACCAAAAAAAGAAAATCAAGGTACAGTGCAACCCCAAAATTAACGGGTTTACATGCCTGCAACACCCTTGATTGTGAAAAACCATGAATTTCTGAAGATACAATCAGAAAAATGCCTGTTTTTCTGGTTTTAAACCTAAATATGCTATGTCTCCCACAGCTGTGTAATATTTTTGTCTTTTGAGGCAGGGTCTTAACTAGGCTGGCCTTGAACCTGTGGCAGTCCTGCTGGCAGCCTCCCAATGCTGGGAACACAAACGTGCCACCATGCCTGGCTTGTAATTTAATTTAATAAAATATTGTCAATAAAGCCTTACAAAGTAGAGAACATTTTAGAGGCATCTTAGGGATCTTAAGACTAAGAAGAACACAAGTGAGAACATCCAAGATAGTTACACAAAGTATAGCACCCTGTTACAGTGTGAGAGTGCTGGTGCATCTGCTGGAGATGAATTACAGGACAGCAGCAAATCAGCAGCAAGAACTTAATAATGCTCTCAAATTAGATACCTGCATACCTCTCACAAAAATAACTGCAGACAATATTTGCAGTTTCCATAAAATTGCTAGGATTCAGCCAGGCATGGTGGCACACGCCTGTAATCCCAGCACTCGGGAGGCTGAGGCAGGAGGATCACTATGAGTTCAAGACCAGCCTGGGCTACATAATGAGTTCCAGGTCAGTCTCAACTACATAGTGAGACCCGGTCTCAAAAAAACAAAAGGAAACAAAAATTGCTAGGATTCAGTGAACAATTCAGTTCTAAGGAAAAATCTGAGAATAACTTAAGATTGCAAACTCTGAATCGGGACAACATGGGGGGAAGATATACTGTATATCACACTAAGCCTGGCCCAAGGCAAGAACTCCATGCTGGGCAGCAGTAAATATATTCCACATTAATGGTAAAGGACACCGTTAGCACTCTTGTTTTTAGTTTTTTGAAACAGGGTCTTACTATAAGGCCTTGAACTTATAGTGTAGCCCAAGCTGGCCTCAAACTCAGCGATCCTCTTGCCTCAGCCTCATGAGTGCTAGGATCACAGGTGTGTGCCACCACACCCAGCTTCCCTGAAGCGTTTGTCCAGCACAGCTGGAAAGGCCAGGGTCCTCACCTTCCAGCCAAGTGCATGCAGCCCCACCACAGCGCCATAGTGAGAGCAAAGAGGCCGCACGGGGTCTGCCAACACCTTCTGCAGGGACAGCAGGATCTGCTGGTAGAGGCCACTGACAAGGTCCCCATGAGTCCTGTGGGAGCCACACTCAGTCAGGGCAGGAAGGAGGAGGTGACACTGCTGCTCCAACTCAGGACACAGCACCAAGAGACACTGCATAGCACATGGAGTGAGTGGCAAGGCTGCAGGGATGACAAGCCTGGGACCCACACCTTAGACAATGCCTTGGCACATCTGTAATCCAGCAAGGTGGCTCTAAGGAGGGTCCCAGGCCTCTCAGTATCTACACCCGGCCTCCCTACCCTGATGCCCTGGCCATAGCAGCCCCCAAGCCCGTTGCTACCAGAAGATGTGGCTGAGAAGGAGAGCAGCCCCATCCCGCAGGGTCCAGTGATCATTGAGGGGGTTGATGGAGGCAGCCAGGGGCTCCAGGACGCAGTAGAGGACACTGCCTACCAAGGAGCGGACGTAGGGCCCCAGGCAGAGGTGCGGGTTCCGAACCAGGCTCCGGGCCACCTGTAGCAGCCGGTGCAGCTGCTCGAGGTCATGGCTTACAGATTTCACCTGTGAGCAGAAGGGTGGCTGAAGGATGGGAGGGAGCCTGGTGCTGGATAGCACCTTTGTGAGCCCTGTAGGCTGCTGGGCCATCTTCCTGCCGTTGCTCACTTACCCCACTGACCACGTAGACAAAGTAAGGCAGCAGAGCTGCAATCTTGGAGTTCGTCTGCAGGTCCTGGAGAGCAACCTGCGAGGAAGGGCTCAGGATGCACTGGAACCACAGCCTCAAGTATAAACTCCCATTGTTCTGGAACTCAGGTCAGCATCACATTCATATGCTGTGCAGGAATTACACCCTGATCCACCAATTCTGCTTCTAGCACATAACTTACAGAAACCCAATCACACATACAACTACAAAGTGAACATAACCTAAATATCCAATGTATTTTAAACTGAGGAAAGTAAATCATAAACCAGGCACAGTGGTATACATTTGTAATCCCAGCACTCTGGGAGGCTGAGGCAGGAAGTTCACAAATTCAAGCCCAGCCTAGGCAACTTAGCAACCTCGTAGTACCCTGGTCTCAAAAACAAAAAATAGGCCCGGGGATTTAGCTCAGTGGTTCTGCTGCCTGTCTCACAAGTGCAAGGACCCAAGTTCGATCCCCGGTACCAAAAAAAAAAAGAAAAATAGCTGGGGATCTACACCAATGTGTATGCCCCAAATTAAATCCCTATATCCTCTCCCCATAAAGCAAGTTCTGAAAACCAGGTGTTTACACACAGATATACACTGAAAGAACCAGAGCTCAATGCAAAAGAACAGAAGGCCTTCTGATCGTTTTTGTTTTTGTGTTTTTTTGTACCGGGGATCTAGCTAAATCCCCAGCCCTGCTCTGAATCTTTTTATATCCTATGTCCTTTTCTAGTAGGCATACACTGATACTACCTTTCAAGGCAAAGAAAAAATATTAAAGTAGAAGCATTTTAGCTCTGAATCTGCAGCTGGGACTCCCTGCGCCTCTGGATGAAGGTCGTAGCCATGAAGGCAGAAGCCAGGAAGGCGCTTGGCCCTTGGTCCATAGCCAGCCATGGCACTGTGCCTCCAGAGCACGAGTCAAGTGTTCTGTTTTTCTCTCAGAGCTGGGGCTCAAAGCCATAGCTCTGGGGCCAGCGGTCCACCTCCAAGCTGCATCTCCACCAGAAGCCAGGCTTTGCAGGCAGGAAGGGGTGGCAGCAGTGTTCCTGATTTTGCAAGGGAAATAACAGCCAACTGCTGGACACATGAAGACACAGAGGAAACTGAGCTGTCCTACAGAAGGCCCTGGCTTGGACCCAGCCCTGCAGAGCAAACCATCCCATCCTGTAGGGTGAGCGAGGCCAGTGGGAAAGTAGAGGACAGACTACACCTAGAGCCCAGAGGTGGACGCAGTGGCCACGACAGGCTGATGGACTTAGAGCTGCAGAACGTACCTGGCCGGGCACCCAACCTGGCCCTGCTTCCTCTGGTCCTTTCCTGCCCAGCCCTAGAACGTGAAGGCTGCGTTGTGGATGGCCCCTGGGCCCAGATCAGCACACACACCAGGGAAGTGTGTAGAAAGAAGCTGTGGATGGTGACACCTGAGCCCCCACTCTGCTGGAGCACAAGGGGTCAGGGCTGGCAACCGGGCCAGCTTGGAGCCACAAGCCCACTCTAAGAAGAGCTTCTCCCCTCAACAGCCAGTTGGGAGAGGACCAGAATGTGGCAACTAAAAGGACTGTGTGAAGATCTAAAGGTTTGAAGATGGGTATGGCAGGGCACAAATAATTACAGCGCTTGGCAGGCTGAGGCAGGAGGAATGCAAATTTCAGGCCAGCCTGGACTACACAGCAAGACCTGTCTCAAAAGAATATAGTATCAGCATGGTGGCACATACCTACAATTGCAGCACTCGGAAGGCTAAGACAGGAGGATCATTTGCCTCAAATGATCCTCAAGTGGCAAGTGTGAGGCCAGCCTGAGCTATGTAGTGAGTTTAAGACCAGCTTGAATTACATAGCAAGATACTCAATAAATAATAGAAACAAAGTCAATCTGGACCCCCAGACTCACCTTCATCAGCTGTGGGTCGTCCCCAAGCACAGCTCGAGTCACCTGCTGATAGTACTTGAGTAGATCATCAGTCAGTGAAGACACTGCACTGGGCACTGCAGTAGGAGGGGCAGGAAGTGGGAGCCCTTCCCCACCTCCCAGCCCAGTCCCCAAACCTGCACCACACAGACGTGCAGGAGCCATTCCAGCAAGGCAGGAGAGCAGAGGTATAGCCATGAACCCACTGCCATCCACCCTCCCCACCAGCTCTGTCCACCACCTCGCAGGACACCCAGGACTGAGCCACAGCCCAGACTTGTGTTCTGGCCTCCAGCACACGGCATGACTGCTGACCACCAGGCTCCCTTCCCCATCCCTTACCTGAGCCTTGGGGTGCCAGGTTGCCTTTACCATCCAGATAGGAGACATGAACTAGAACCAGGCAGAACTGGTATCAGCCTGGGGTTCTGCCCCTCTAAATCTTGCCCAGGCCCCAGCCAGCCCCATACTGCCACATTCATGACCCAGGAGCCACCTCTGACGGCCGTCTCTGCGCAGCCTTTGGGGATGTTGGTGGCCAGAGCCAGCTCCACCAGGTTCACCTCTCGGTCCTCGGGGAAGTAGAGCTCACCCTCCCTGGTGGGGCGCAAAGGCAGGGCCTCCTGGGACCCGTAGCCACACACGGCCTGAGGAAAGCAACAGAGCAACCTGAACCCAGGGTGTGCGGCAGGGCCATCACAGGTTTCACATGGAGAAATGTGGCTGGGGTGAGGAGACCTGGCCCTGCTCACCCAACTGCTAAGCTACCTGCCCTGCTACCCAGTGTGCAAACACCAAGCTCTTGGTCACAGCTGGGTCCCCCTCAGGTTCCTCCCTCAACCAAGAGGCCCACAATTCCTCCTGGGTCACTTGAAGAAGCTAGCTCAGGCACTTGGAAGGTCCAGGTCAAGTCCACCTCTTCCAAGAAACATTTCCTGGGCCAGGAAATTGGCTCAGTGGTGCCTGCCTGGTAAGTGCAAGGTCCTGAGATCAGTCCTGGGGAAAAGAAAAGAAACCATTCCTGACCCCAGCCAGCACAGCCCCTCACTTCTCTAGCAGGAGCTCATGTTCCTGTGTTCCCAGCTGGCACCTAACCTGAGGCTGCTGCTGCTGCTGTGCGCGGCCGCCTGCCCCACTCCCACCAACCCCACAGTGCACCCACTCACCTCCACACTGCTCCAGCGAAGGGCCCTGTTGAAGTCCTCCACAGTCAGCCTCCTCCGCTTGGTGTGCTTCATGAACTGAGAGCTGTTCTGGGGGTGGAGGCAGAGTCAGGGGTGGGGACCCCTAAGCCAGGGGTCAAGATGTCGAGGAGGCCTGGCAGCAGCACGGAGCTAAACCCCAGCCTGTGCCTCCACTACAGCAGGAGGTGATACCTGTCTTGCCAGCCAGCAAGCCTGTCACAGAAGCACAGCATAGGGCCCCACACAGCCTGTGCCTTGCCAGGTGTGGTCTCAATATGGGCATCAAGAGAGAGGAAGTGTGTAAGGTGGGACCAGGTGCTCACCTGAGTGGCCTCTCGGAGCCGGTAGCACACGTCCTCGGCCAGCAGTGCTGCCACCTCATCGCTCAGCTCCAAGCCTGTACTCTCAGCCATGAGTCGCACTGACTCCCGCGGGATCTCAACAAACCGCCGCTCTTCCCGCTCTGACATGGCCCTGCTGGAGCTGGAGGAAACGGCACAGCTGCCCACTGTACCTGGGAGGCTGAGACAGCAGAGCAACACCCTAGCATCCAGTGCTGCTCTTGCACTGCAGCTCCTGAGCAGGGAGCTCAGGGTTCCCCAGTGAGGCTCAGGGAAGGACTGGGCCAGCCAAAGAGCAGATAATGGGGAAGCAGAGAAGGTGGCCAGCCTCTGCGGGCGCAGCATGGGGAGTTCTGCTACAAAGCTGGCCCAGACCTTCGAGTCCTGAGCCTTGGCGTGCGAGGCTATGAAAGAGGGCCATGACCCAAGGATGGTCAGAGATGCTAACTGCAGAAGCCAGGGGCTAGGGCTCTGGACCCTGTGTGTAGTCGTGTAGTCCCAAGAGGCAGAGGCAGAAGGATCACAAGTTCTAGGCCAGTGTGGGCAACTTACCAAGACCTTGCCTCAAAAAAAAAGAACATTAAAAAGGGCTGTGGAGGGCCGGGGATTTAGCTAGTGGCACCACACCTGCCTTGCAAGCCCAAGTCCCTGTGATCGATCCCTGGTACTGCAATCAATCAATCAATCAATCAATAATAAAAGGGCGGTGGAGCCAGGGACATAGCTCAGTGGTACAGTGCCTTCCTGGCAAGCACAAGGTCCTGAGTTTAATCCCTGCTATCAAAACAAATAAACAAAATGGAAAAAATGGGCTGTGGAGGTAGCAATTGCCTAGCATATGTTCAGGTCTTGAGTTCAAGTCCTAGTACCACAAAAACACAAAAGAACAGAAACACTATATGACCTCTTCCTTCTAATTCTTACTATAACTACCAACTAAATTTTCATTAAAAAAAATTTTTTTTATGGTACTGAGGGAACACAGGGCCTTGGCACTGAGTTACATACCCAGCCATTTTTTGTATTTTAAATCTTTTTTTTTTTTTTTGTTTTGAGTTTTTTGGTACATTCTAGGTATACAATACAGTTACATAAATCTTTTTTTTTTTTTGTATTGAGTTTATTGGTACATTCTAGGTATACAATACAGTTACATTCTTTACTGGGATCTTGTACCTTTACATGAAAGGTTTTGGTTCTCACTTTTTCCCCTTGTCCCTGCCCTCCCTTTACCCCCTCCCCACCTCCCCATTTTGTATTTTAAATCTGAGACAGGCTCTACCTAAGTAGCCTGGGCTCACAGTGGCAATCCTTCTGTCTCAGTCTCCCAGAGATGGCAGGGATGGGGCACCATGTCTGGCTGAAAAGCTGCTTTTCTCCTGACAGACTCACTAAAAAAATCTTCAATACTGCTGGGGATTTGGCTCAGTGGTTCTGCCGCTTGCCTCGCAAGCACAGGGTTCCAAGTTCGATACCCAGTACCAAAAAAAAAAAAAATGGGGGGGGCAGGGATTTAGCTCAGTGGTTCCGGTGCCTGCCTCACAAGTACCAAACACAAAAAAAAAAAAAAAAAATGGGGGGGGCAGGGATTTAGCTCAGTGGTTCCGGTGCCTGCCTCACAAGTGCCTCACAAGTGCAGTTCGATCCCTACCAAAAAAAATCTTCAATACTTCCCCACTGCTTATGTTTAACTTGTTTTGTTTTTTGGTACCGCAGATCAAACTTGGGACCTTGTGCTTTTGAGGCAGGCAAGGGAACCACTACGCTAAACCTGTGGCCCTTCCTCACTGCTTATGAAAGCAGAGTCCAAACTCCTTGACTTGGCACTCCACATTTGGTCTCAATCCCTACAGACCTGCCAGGTATCTTCCCACCCCTCACTGTGCTAAGGCAAGCCCAGTCCCTAGGAGCCCTTCGCCATCTGGAGCTGTCTGCCCTCCCAGTTTGGTGGCAAGGCCTGAATGGTGAGCCGGTTCCTTTCATAGGCCCTGGCAGGGTAGGAGTCCAAGCGGCTGAGGCCTGGAAGGAGGACAGGATCCGTGGCCAAAGCGACCCTGGCTTAGGGTGGCCCTCCTCTTCCGGGGTCACCGCTCTGGTCTCCAGATCCACTGGGCGAAGTCCCTGGGACACACACCCAGGCCCCACGGACTAAGGCAACACCATCATCTCCCCTTCCTCGCTGCACAGCTACCTTACTGCCTCCCAAAACAGCCTTTCAGGACCTTTGTGCATCCTGCTTCCACTGGGCTTGGCCCTCTCTCCCGCCGTTCACTGCAGTCTGTCTGGTGCACTCCTACTCACGCCTTTGTATCTGAGGTCAAATGTCACTTGCCCAGGAAGCCTTCCCAGGTCGCCCCAGTGGCCCCGCATTCGGCCTTCCAAACGGCTGCGCAAGTGTGCAGTCCCCGTGTGACTGGGACACACCGGCCACTCCGCCGCGACCAGCGTCCGCGCTCACCTGCGTGTCCCGCGCGCCCCGTCCGGGTCAGCGCATCCAAGCGACACTCGTTGCGAGGAGAGGAGCGGAGAACGAGCGGGTCAGATCGCGGCCCGGAGCAACCCGCTGACCCGGAGCAGGGGTAGGAGGTCAAGGGTGGGAGGTCAGGGGTCACGACCTGGGCCACGTGGTCACCAGGGGCGGCCGGGCCAGTCCACAAAGGCTCCGAGCGAAGCGAGGGATCCCACCTGGAGCGTAGGAGAAGGGTACACCTGGAGCGACTGCACCTACCGGAACCCGGATACGACCAGACCTCCGGGCACCCAGCCCGCCGTG